CGCAATAATGTATATGCCAGTGCTCCAAAACACTTCCCATTGCGACGACAGTGCGAACACTCCGCGATGCCCATCCTGGGTGCCCCGAATTGCACTCAGAGAAACCTCGTTAATGCATATCATGGTTGCCTGTGGGCTCGCCCCGCTGGCTCAAAATAGCACTCCGAGAAAACCTCGTTAACGCTTCTCTTGGCATTCCTGCAGGCTCCAGTTGGTGCACTCACTGGTGACCGTTGGAAGAGCTGGCCGTCGCCGTGTCCTCCGACTTGGGGCAGCCGAACTTTGCCTCGAAGATCTCGGTGCCATCCACCAAGGTCTGCGTGCTGCCTCGTAGCTGCTGGCGCTACTTTAGCCTCTTCGCTCCCTTTGGGTAAAAATTGTCTTCGTTGCTCAGCTCCTGCAAAGGCGACCTTCCTGACTTTGCGGAAGTATGCTTAGTCGCCCTTTGATATCTTCAGCGCCGATTCGCGCCAGCTCTGTACAGAAGAGGTGGAAAGGGAGGAGGAGGAGGAGAAGGATGAGGAGAACCGGGCACGAGCACATGGAAACGGGAGCGAGGAACGGGGATGAACATATGGAGCAAAGAGGGGGAACAGAAGGAGGTGGAGGAGAGGGGACAGGAGTGAGGAGAAAAAGGAAATGAAAAGAGGGATGAAGAACACGAGGAGATTTCATGAGGTGGAAGAAACGCACAAGGATGATTGGAAGAGGAAAAAGGGCCATAATATAAAAATGCGGAAACGGAGGGCTTCCCGGAAAAAGAAAAAAGGTGACCCCGATATAGCTCTTCACCACATGCGAAAATGAGACCAGCCAACCAAAGCAGACTTTCGAGATCGCAATCCGACGACGGGGAGGCGGATTTCTCTTCGAACCGAAAGGCATGCATCTCTGTAGCGGCACCAGGTGGCCCTCGATGGCCACATGAAAACCAGTGGCGGGTGTGGTTTGGGTGTTCTTGTCGTCCGCTCCTTCCTCAATGTTGGCTGACTGTGCCAACACGGAGTGACATTTGTCATCGAGTGCCCAGATAGCATCGCTGACGACATCGCGCCCGCAAGTGGTCCCACATCGGAACATGGTTTGTGTGGATTGACGTTCGAGATAATTCAGAATGCTGATGCGCAATTTGCACCCTATTTCCACCCCGTCCTCCTCCTTCAGTTTGTCCTCCTCCCCCGCCGCCTCCTCTACCTCCTCCTCCCCCATGCCGATGGCTTTCCGCACCCCCTGGGGTGGTTGCTGCGTCCTGGCACATGGGGCGCTCGTAAGGCACCAGCATGGCGCATGGCGCCCGCCCGAAGAGCACCAACACGGTCACACCAGGGGCTAGGAAGCGGGGGCAGACACTTGCACGCGAGACTGGACAGCCCGGCGGCAGGACCAGATGACTCAAGGGGCCCAGGGGCACACAAATGAATAGACACAAGTAACGGGATTCCCAATATTTTCCAGAGGGATTTTCGTTTTCCCCCCACTTCCCATATTTGCTTACTATCCTGGGAATCGACGATGAATTTTGTCTGTGTGATTTTCCCCACCTGAATGACCTGCGCCCGTCGCGAGGCAGATGCATCAGGGGCGCGGTCCGGCGGCCAGGGCCGGCGGCCCTGCGCGCCCACGCATCTCCCTGGTTGCTGGGGCTCGTTCTTGTTTCGACGCTGGCTGGCGGCAGCGCAAGCTTTTTGTCAACCGCAGATGCTGCGCGCCTGCCCCCGTCGCGGAACAAGGGCCTCAAGGGCGCCGACCGTCGCCAAGGCCAGCGGGCACGCGCATGTGTAAATCTCTCCTGGAACCACGTACATCTACTTCTGCGCGCTGGCCGGTGGCAGCCCTGGTTCTCGTGCGTCCATTGATTCTTCGCGCTTGCCCTCATCGCGAGGCTGTTGCCTCGAAGGCGCACCCCGGCGGCATCGCCAGCGGCTTGCGCGCTATCGCGTCTACCCGCTGCCACGGTCCGTCTCCTGTCGGACGCTGCCTTGCGGCATTCCCGACCTGATCTGCAGATGTTGCAAACTTGCCCCCGTCGCGAGGCAGTTTCCTCGAGGGCGCAGCCCGACGGCAAGGCTTGCAGCCCTGCGCGCTCCCGCGTCTGTCTGCTGCCAAGGTTCGTTTGCTTTCGGTGGCCAGCTTGCGGCACTGCCAGCTCTCCTGCGTCCGCAGATTACGCGCGCTTGCCCCCGCCGCGAGGCCTTTACCTCGAGGACGTGGCCAGGCGACGAGACCGGCGGCCCCGCCCGCTCCCACGTGTCTCCGCTTACCACGGCTCGTCGTTGCTCAGACGACGGCCATCGGAAATTCTGGCTTTCGTGATGCCGCAACTCTGCGCGCTCGCCACCGTCGCGAGGCAGGGCCCCCAAGGGCGCAGCTTGGCGGCAAGGCTTGCGGCCCTGCGCGCTCTCGCGCCTCCCCGGTTACCGCGTTTCATATTCCGCTGGGAGCTGGATGGCGGCAGTGCTGGCTAGCTCTCGCGCATGCGCAGATTCTGCGCGCTTGCGCCGAGGGGGCCCGAGGGCTGTTGCCTCGAGGGCGGGGCCAGGCGACAAGGCCCGCGACCCTACTCACTCTCATGCCTCTCCGGCTACCACGGTTCGTCTCCCTTCGGACGCTGGCATGCCGGCCTTCGCGCATCCACAAACACTGCGCGCTGATCCCCGTCCAAAGGCACTTGCCTCGAGGACGCAGCCCAGCGGCACGACTCCGACGCTCCCCTGGGTACCATGGTCCGCCTCTTTTGGTCGCCAGCCGGCAGCAATGCCAGCTTCTTCGTGCACCCGCAGATTCTGCGTGCCCATCCCCGTCAGGAGGCAGCTGCCTCCAGGACAAAAGTCTGGCGGCAAAGCCAGCGGTCCTGCACGCTCTCGCGTCCATCGAGTCACCCCTGCTGTCCCTCCTTGGACGCTGGCTGGCGGCAGTGCCAGCTTTCGTGCATCCACAGATTCTCTGGGCCTATCGCCGTCGGGGGGTCATTCGTAACCTCTCCATTTCCCCTCCGAGCTGGAAGCCAGTTAGTGTTGGTCTTTGACCTGGCCGCATGGCCGATAAGAGAACCGAGCCGCATGTTGGAAAAACTCTGTCCTGGACGCGCGGCCGAGAAGAGAGCCTACCGACAAGTCCCTACCTTTTGGAATCATACTACATGTGTAACCCGCACCTTCTGCTATTACCAAACTTGCCGTTACGGTGGGATTCGGACGGATGCTTCACGCGCATACTCGATCATTCAGTTCTCTGGTGCGCCCGTAATGCACCACGGTCCAGCTGCACCAATCGCAGGTCACAAAGACCAGGGTGAACACATACCCTGAATCTTGAGGACGCCAATACCTGGGAGTGGCCTCTTCCCAACGAGGGAAATCTATACTGTCTATACTGTGGATCTGCCTTGTGATCGACTTGGGGTCTCTTGGGACTCTCTGGAGGTGTTCCTGCTGCTCAGGCAGGCTCCAACATGCCATCCTGTGCCTACTCTGGGGGCCCTCTTCGGGCCCGCGTGTGGACTTCCTGCACTCTGGCAGGTTCCTAGCCTAGAACGACCTTGTTCCGTGCGGTCTAGACCACAACCACAGGCCGTTCGCATCACCGGGCCACCGCTGTGCCATTCAGGGTGGTGACTCCAGGAAACTGGGCCCACTAAACGGGGTTGAGGTGCCCCAAAGCCAGGCCACCTCAGTCCTCCTCCCTCCCCCTCCTCCCTCCCTCCTGACTCCTCCTCCCTCCTTCCTCCCGCCCCCTCTGCCTCATCCCTCCCTTCCTCCCTCCCCCTCCCCCCTCTTCGTCCTCCTCCTCCCTCCTCCTCCTCCTCCTCCTCCTCCTCCTCCTCCTCCTCCTCCTCCTCCTCCTCCTCCGCGTCCTCCTCCTTCTCTTCCTCTTCCTCTTCCTCCTTCTCCATCCTCCATCCTCCCTCGACCTCTTCCACCTATCCCCCTCAACATCGGCCCCCAGACTTTCCAAGGGTGAATGCTGGCCAGACTCCGAAAGAGGATCCAGCCGTGGCGACGAGAAGACTCCGAAAGGCATCCGAAAGGCCCCCCAAACACACACACACCAACCCACACAAACGCCAACGTGAACTGTTTCCTCTGGTGGCCGAGTGATGATGCCCAGCGAGAGCTTAGCTCATGACATGTTCGAACCTAATTCCACCAACCGTTGCCGGAGGTAGCCTGTGCAACGGGCATGCTCAGCAAGTCGGCGTGCAACGAATCATCCACAAGGCGACGTGAGTGGGCAGCTCCGGACATCGAACGCACGAGGGGAAGCACCAACTAAGTGAGTCAGGATCGTGTCGTGCCGACTTCAGCATTGATTTCTGACACCGCCGGGATCGTTCAATCTTGAACGATCGGCCGTTTCCGAGACGTCCAAATCGTTCCACATCGAACGATTCTGGGTCGGCCGCGGCGTTCAAAGTTGAACGCCGCTGGCGGGGTCGCCGCCAGTCGACACGACACGAACCTACCGTATGCAGGTCGTGCTGGAGAACGCGAAGACCAGGAGAGCTACGAGTCCATCCAGGCTGCCAGTCGCGTCAGCGCCAGCGACACTCTGCGAGAGCCAGCGGCACGGGCGGCACAACACAAACAAAACACACACACACACACACACACACGCGCACACACGCGCACAAACGCACGCACGCACGCACGCACGCACGCACGCACGCACGCACGCACGCACGCACGCACACACACACACACACACACACACACACGCACGCACGCACGCACGCACGCACGCACGCACGCACGCACGCACGCACGCACGCACACACGCACACACACACACACACACGCACACGCACACGCACACCCACCTTCGGTCGCATGCGGTGGGGGCCGAGAAGCTGCTCGCACGTCCGAAAGCCATGCCCAGCGGAGCAAGCTCCAGCCAGACCAAGCGAGGCTTCCAGGCACGCCCTGGGAGCCAGAAGGTGAACAGGCAGAATGGACGGGAAGAGAACGGGGGCCATGACCAAGACTGCACGCGGAAGCGTCGCGCCGATCTCGGTCACTGTCCACCTTGGTCAGCGTCAATTCGTGGATCATCTTCGCGAACGAGCGACGGCCGACATGGACGATGACCAAGATCGACATCACCAAAGATCCCGCGACATCGTGGTCATTAGAGGGCACAAAATTCCACCCCGATAATGCGAGGCCTTTGGTAAACGCGTCCAGAGAAGGAATCGAACAAGGCAAGGCTGTTTAGCAAATGCCCAGGGCCGTTTAGTAAACGCAGATTGTCCGGTCCAGGTGGTTTTTCCTCCCTTGAGTCGTGGCCCTGCGCACAGGGGGGGGGGAGGGAAGGGGAGGGCCTTTTAGAAGGAGGCTGCTTCCTAGAAGGCGCCGGCCTTAATTACATCTATCGATAAGGCCCGCGCCGTCTAAGAAGCAGGGGTGCTTCGAAGAAGCCCTCCCCCCTCCCCCACCCTTCTCTTCTGCCCTCGAGGGAAAGCGCCGGCCCCTCGCGGGGCAATGGCAGGGCGGGGCAGCGCGCTGGGCGGAGGGCAGCCAGGGGCGACGGCAGGCTGGCGGCGACGGGGGACCCGCCACAGGGCCAGCAGGCAGCGGAGACACGCGTGCACAGACCCGTCGGTCGGAAGAAGTGGGTGGAAACATAAAGGCGGTGAAGGTAGATTGGTTTCCCGCCCACCCCGTCAGAAGGAAGGAAGACGGGAAACCACTCGATCATTGAGGAAGGAAGACCCAAAGTGGATGGAGTGTGGGAATACAGAAATACCGACTTCCAACGACCGACGGGTCAGCGGAAACCTCGATCCCGAAGCACTCCAGAAGGCTCCTGGCCATGCCGGCTCCTCCCGGGGCCCTGCGGCCCTGGGAGGCGGCAGAAGCGACCACGGGCAGAGGGTGCCGAGAAGGAGAGGGGGGGAGGGGAGGGGGGTAGGGAGGAGAGGAAAGGCGGGAAGGAGAGAAGGAGGGCAGGAGGAGGATAATGAGGAGGAGGAGGAGGAGGAGGAGGAGGGAGGAGGAGGAGGAGGGCTGGGACAAGCTGGTCGCGCTCGCGCCGACGTGGCCGCCCGACGCGGCGGAGGGATGCGCGCGGCCAGGCAGGAGGTCTTCCTGTCGAATTTGGAGCGGCAGGCGGCGCGGGGCGGGGGGGGCACGGAAAGGTTGGAGCTTTGGAGGAAGGCCAGGGGAGGTTGGAAGGAGGAGGCTGGATGTGGAGGACGTCTGAGGAGGAGGAGGAGGCTGAAGGAGACGGAAGGATGAGGGGGAGGGGGACCTCACTCTCCTCCAGTTTCCAACTACGCCCCCTCCTCTTGAAAACTCCTCCTCCTCGTCCGGCCGCTATACATTTTTCTCCTCTTCCCTTTTCTCCATCACCCCCGCCCAATCAATCACCCCCACCACCACCATCATCAACGTCGACTCCATGTGCGTGCTCTCGTTTTGTCCATGGGCGGAGGCCGTGCCTGCGCCCCGGCACATGCCCGAACCGATGCAGGCACCGATAACCCTCCAGCCCAGCCCCTCTCGTGCCGATTTAATTCGACAAGTGGGAGGCTTCACCACCAGGAGCAATCGGAGGTTGGGTGGTGAGTCCGACGTGAAACGGAGACCCCCCCTGCCGGGAAATCGATTTCTATTTCGGGTTCGTGTCGTGCGTGCCGTACGTGCGCGCGTGCGGGCAAGACGAAGCTGCGTGGGCGGGCGAGAGGAAATCCTCCTGTGGCTGGGCCGCGGCCAGACCAAATGATTCTCCTCCGGCGGCTGGTGGCCCGCGGTGTCCCGCCGATGTCCCGCTGGTGTCCCGAAATCCTCCTGTGGCTGGGCCGCGGCCGGACCGAATGATTCTCCTCCAGCAGCTGGCGGCCCGCGGTGTCCCGCTGGTGTCCCGCTGGTGTCCCGAAATCCTCCTGTGGCCGGGCCGCGGCCAGACCAAAAGTCTCTCCACCCGGCAAACGGTGCCCCGCGGTGTCCTGCTAGTGTCCCGTTGGTGTCTCGCCGTGGCTGCGGCAAGCTATCCAATGCAAGTCTACATGCACACCGACATGCAAACCGAAAAGCACATCAAAATGCAAATCGACATGCACATCCACATGTAAATCGTAAGGCGCCGTGGGTTGCGTATTTAAAAAGCGCCTGCGGCGAGCTTCCCAATGCAAGTCGACATGCAAATCGAGATGCAGATCGAAAAGCAAATCGACATGCACATCGATATGTCGACATGCAAATCGAGATGCAGATCGAAAAGAAAATCGACATGCACATCGATATGCGCACCGCAGGCATCGTCAGAACAACAGACACCACTGTTGCCCATTGCTGCCCCGCCCCCCATAACCTCCTTATCACCCGCAGGGTGGTCGTATAAGAAATGTGTAAGGCGGTGGGTGAAGAGAAGCAACAACAACTGAACGATCGTACGGAACTGAGCTCGAGAGCGGAGCTCGGAACCAACATCCCCATGGACACGCGAGCGCGATGTGACCTCGAACATCCGCTCCGCTCCTGCGCACCTCCACATGCGCGTGCTCTCGTCTTCCCCGTGCTGCCGATCGCTCTGCGGACTCCACCCGTGCCTGCGCCCGTCCTATGGGCGGAGGCCGTGCCTGCGCCTGGGCACATGCCTGAACCGATGCAGGCACCAATAACCCCCCTTTCATGCGGGTACCCTGCGCCGCACACGCGGCAACACTCCGTGCTAAAGTTGGCGTCGCAAGTCTACATGCACACCGACATGCAAACCGAAAAGCACATCAAAATGCAAATCGACATGCACATCCACATGTAAATCGTAAGGCGCCGTGGGTTGCGTATTTAAAAAGCGCCTGCGGCGAGCTTCCCAATGCAAGTCGACATGCAAATCGAGATGCAGATCGAAAAGCAAATCGACATGCACATCGATATGTCGACATGCAAATCGAGATGCAGATCGAAAAGAAAATCGACATGCACATCGATATGCGCACCGCAGGCATCGTCAGAACAACAGACACCACTGTTGCCCATTGCTGCCCCGCCCCCCACAACCTCCTTATCACCCGCAGGGTGGTCGTATAAGAAATGTGTAAGGCGGTGGGTGAAGAGAAGCAACAACAACTGAACGATCGTACGGAACTGAGCTCGAGAGCGGAGCTCGGAACCAACATCCCCATGGACACGCGAGCGCGATGTGACCTCGAACATCCGCTCCGCTCCTGCGCACCTCCACATGCGCGTGCTCTCGTCTTCCCCGTGCTGCCGATCGCTCTGCGGACTCCACCCGTGCCTGCGCCCGTCCTATGGGCGGAGGCCGTGCCTGCGCCTGGGCACATGCCTGAACCGATGCAGGCACCAATAACCCCCCTTTCATGCGGGTACCCTGCGCCGCACACGCGGCAGCACTCCGTGCTAAAGTTGGCGTCGCTTCTGGACTGGCACTGGGGGTTACACCTCTCGCACAAGACCTTGCACTGTCGATCGTCGGACTCGAGCATCGCGTGGTCCGAAATTCAAAACAACCGAACAAGCACCCACGGGACGTCCGCCTCCTTCAGGACGCGACGCGCGCGGGCCCCTCCTTCGCCCCCCGGGGCATGGGCGGGAGAGCAAGGAAGTGAGATCCCTCATGTCGCGCTCCCCGCCCGAACCCCCGCGGGAGCGATTGGCCTAGGTTTCGCCGTCTAGCATTGGGTATGTATGCTGGGCCCGAGGGGCGCTGGGGCGGACGGCAAGGGCGATCGCCGTGTGACCCTAGAAACCGCACGAAACGCTGCCACTTCTGGCGCGAAGCGCGCCCCCTTCCGTCGCCTGGCGCACTGGGGCGAAAGGCAATCCCGCACCTCCACAAACCCAATGGAGCGCGGCAACCATTGGCGCGGAGCGAGCCCCCAACCTCGTCCCTAGGCCAAAACGGGCGAGCGTCCTATAGCGCCCCCCGCCTAACCCGACGCGCGCTGGGGCGGAGGGAGGGGAGATCGCCGTGCACCCCCAGAAGCCCTACGAAGCGCGGTCACCCCTGGCGCGGAACGCGACCCCTTCTTCGCGCGGCGTGCTGGGGCGGAAGGCAGGGAAGATCGTCCCGCACCTCCGAAAACCCTGCGAAGCGCGGCCATAATTGGCACGGAGAGCGCCCCGTTCCCCGCCCCAGGGCTAAGGCGGGAGAGCATGGAGGGGAGATCCCCTCCCATCGCGCTCCCCGCCTGAGGCCCCATGGGGGCGGCCGCCAACAACGCCCCACGATCCTGTCGCAAACGGGCGGCGGCGAGCGAAACCAGGTCATAATGTTGCGACCGAGCACGCCCCTTGGGAAAACACGCGTGCCGCCTCGAAAAGCCGGCCGAAGGTTCGAGCGGGCTGACGCCATACGATCATGACGGGATGTGCCTGCTTCTCCCTAGGCCTATCATTCCGAGGACGCGCGTGAACGCGGCGCTGGAAAGTCAAAACGGGGCGAAACGCGCCGATTTCACATCATGGCCAATCGGCCCAGGGACGCCGACCAACAATTCTACCGACAGCGCGGCGAGTTCCGAACCACCTCTCCTGCACCACGCTGGGACGCCGAACTACGGCAGGTTTGCGCCCCCAGCGCTGGTTCCTGACACTGCGTGGATCGTTTAACATTGGACGAGGGGTGGGAAAGCATGGAGTGGAACCCCCTTCCTATATCACTCCACACCCGCACCCCGATGGGAGCGGCCGCCACAATCGCGGCAAGCTCGCCCAGCTTCTGCGCGGAAAACGCGGCGGCCTTCGAACTGCTCCACTCGCGGCAGGCTGCCAGGGCCTCGCGCTCTGCTGAGCCGCCCAGCAGCTCCACGGACAGCGCGGCGACTTCTAGATCGGCGGTGGACAAACCTACCTTCCGTAAACCTCCCTTTAGTGAAAACGGCCTGGGACCGAAACCGACGGACCTGGACCCGCACAAAAGACGCTACCCTGGAAAACCCGAGGGTTGGGGGAGAGCGCGGGGAGCGCTGCGCGTTGGGTAGGCACGCGCCCGCGGGGGGGGGCGAGCGGCGCACTCGTCGCTCGCCGCTCCCCGCGGGAGCGCGCGGGTGCAGCGACACCCCGCGCCCCACCCCAACCAAAGGAGCGGCGAAGGGTGAGGGGAAACAAAAGCCGCCACGGCGGCCCGCGACGCGCGCACCGAGGGCGCCAGCCTCGCGTTCGGCCGACAAGCGCCCTCGGGGCAGCGCGCGCGACGCGGGGGTATATTTACCCTCCCCCCACCGCAGGGAGACGTGGACAAAGAACACGAACAAGACGAGGAACACGAAGTCCATGAAGACCTGAGGCGAGCCACCCCAAACGCACCCCCCAACCGACCCAACCCGCCCCACCACAGGCACCGCGGCGAACCGCGGCGCCAGCGGCGGGGCGGCAGGGGTAGAAGGTTCCCAGGTCCGCGTTTTTGTGACAACGAACAAAACTGCGTTGTGTTCTCGCCCACAAAAGACGCTACCCTGGAAAACCCGAGGGTTGGGGGAGAGCGCGGGGAGCGCTGCGCGTTGGGTAGGCACGCGCCCGCGGGGGGGGGCGAGCGGCGCACTCGTCGCTCGCCGCTCCCCGCGGGAGCGCGCGGGTGCAGCGACACCCAAGGCCCTTGCTGCACCTGCGCGCGAGGAAAACCCAACGCTGTTCTCGCCGAAGGTGTTCTATAGGCTCACAGCCACCTCAGTCCTTGTCTTCGTCGCTGGACGAAGCGCCGCCGTGCGCTTCCCTGACGGCGCTGTCCTCAAGCGCATCCCTGTCTAAATATGACAGGAAGGCGGCGGACCGCCAATCTCCGGCGCGAAGGATGTCGGCCAGCCGCGAGCCACGCACCGCCATGTCTTGGGCGTGGCCCCGACGAAAATCGTGGGTGCGATAGGCATCGTGCCGCGGCACCCCGAGCTCTTGCAGGGCCGCTCTCAACGCCGATAGGACAGCGTCCGGGCGGAAACCCGCAAAAGGCTGCTGGGCCGCGCTGTCGGCGCAGAATTTCCCCAGCGCGTGCACGGGGCACGTTGATGGACAGCGCGCGCACCAGCACGTGCGCGTCATCGTGAGCGGCGTGGCGCGATTCTTGCGCCAAAGCAACGTCAGCGAGATCGAGCCGTCATGCAGGCGTAGGCAGCTCTTCGGCTCGACCGCCCGCGGCGGATCG